AACGCCATCTTTTCTGAGATTGGTGGGAAATTTTGTGGAAAACTGATGAGAAAAATGTGGAAACTTGGAAGATTCTGCACCCCTGGACCGAATAAGGAACTTCATTTGAGTCTTTTTGACTGGAAAATGCTATCATACACTGTTACAAGTAAGAAAAAAAACACCGAAAAAATGTGGCCCCAACTGTGTGTAAGAAGGTGGCAAAAAAATGCCGGCGCCACGCTGTTTTGCGGGGAAAGCGAGGCGAAAAAGTTCACAAATTTCAATTAGAGTCAAAAATGTTTGTATTATAATGAGTATTAGTACAGAAGTGACAATGAGACAAAGATTATTCAGCTCAGCGAGATGCATTGGAATATTAAGCTTGGGGTCATCTAAAAAATGTTTGACTCCAATCGAAATTTTAAAATTTTTTGGCCCTGCTTTTCTCGCAAAGTAGTTGTAGACCCAGCACTATTTACCTCCTTGTTACACGTTTACAAGTTGTCATCATTTCATTTTAGTTTTTAACAAAAATTCTATCTCAAATTTTAATTTTTCATGCTACATTTTTCCTAGTTTATTCTGTGTTTCTCATCAATCGCTGCGGTTATCTGAGTTATGAAAACAATTTTGATGCCAATTATTTTTTTTTCAAAACTTTTTTTGCGAGGGGCGGGGGGGGGGGGTCTCAGGAAAATGTCTCTGGTTTCACGAAGAAAACGCTTTTAGCGGCCAATTTGAGAACTTGTTTTTTCTCCCAGCGGTTTCTCTCGGGGTGACGAGGGTGCGGAACTGCGGAGGACCGACCCACTTCTCGGCTTGCCAACGAAGAACCGCGTAAGTGAGTAGACGACCGCGCGGAGAGTTGCGCGGTTTTGCCCGACACGGCGACTCGACAAACCCACTCGAATCGCGGCGGGGAGAAAATCACATTTTAGAATGCGCGTCTCCTTGACTTTTTACTTTTCTTAAAATCTGGAACATTCGCGCCCTTCAGATCCCTTTAATGGAGTGATTGAGTTATTTCCCTTTGCCGAGGCGACCGACGCGGAGCTAAGAGCCCTGTCGGTGGCACGAAACGAAATCTCATTTCGAGGAGCACCTGAGTATGTCGTGCATGTTCCTTGAGGAGAGTGTGCATGTAGTCGGGTCATGCAGCCGACACTGTGACCGGGTCCCGAATTAACGAAGAGTGGATGTGACGTCAAGTGTCTCCCTCGAGTTTTCCGAATCGACCCACGTGTCATATCTCACATTATCTAATGGAGCAAAAAAAGAGAGGGATTTGCCGGGAAATCCCTTTGTATCCGGCGTCCTCACCCTTAATCACCGTTTAACCCATTTTTTCGGAGTTCGACCTTCACGGAGAAAAAAGAATACCTACTGTTCTTTCTCAGACAACTGGTTTTTTTTTTTTTTTTTTTTTTTTTTTTTCCGTATTTGTTTGTCTCTGGTATTTGTACCCGGTAGCACGTTCGTAATAGATTCGATTTAGTGGCTATGTCGTATTCTGGAGATCGATTTATCGACTACTAAGGGAAAAACCACGAATTTCCATTGTAGTGTTTTAAAATTTCCGCCCCTATTTGATTTTTTCGTAAAGAAACGAGTCAACTGTCTAACATGGACTTTTTACAGAATATTCTGCGACTCGAGAAGAAAAATCAAGAAAATTTTAAAAAAATTAGTTTGAAGTTTTCCGAAGAAAAATCAATTTTTGACAGGACATCTGCTGCGTTGCAAACGGAGACACACGCGTGCTTTCACACTGTGGCCATCGGTGTTCGATGGTTTCATTCTAAAACAAAACATAACCCCAATGTAAAACAATTCAACCCTCTGATCGGAAGTTGTAATTTTACCACGCTCTCAAAGTGCGGCAAAAAACAATCAAAAGTCAATCGGGCCAATTTGATTTCGATTATTTTATCGCGATGTATCCATTGACGTAGCCACTAAATAGGTCTATATTACACGGTTATTTATGGTGGTAGAACCGCAGTAGATTTTAGGATGGCCATCGATAAGCACAGTAGAGTTATCATGCTCAGGCTCAATGTACCATTTCAAAATGAGGAAAAAATGTATTTAAAATTCACTCTTGAAACAGGAATGATATCGCTTGATATATCGCGGCCTTTGAGAGCGGTAAGCTTTAACGACGATGGTGTATCGAATGCACCGTCTCTAAATCAGTTTGTTAGAGGCCAACTGTCAACTTAAAGGTTTTAAAAAATTTAAAAGAAATTTAGAGAATTTAACCTGAACAGCATTAATCATATTTTCTGAGACACTGTTTGCTGGTAATTGAGGAGAAAGTGCTTCGGTGCGGAATAAAAATGACGGGAATTTTTGCGTATCTCCTTTGCGATGAGCGGAGCGTTTATAGCGAGAAGGTATCAATTAGAGGATTTAAAGACTGAATTTTCACTCGAATTCAAAACTTTTTGTCATCATTAATTTGTTTCGAATAAAAGAGGGTCGATCGCTCTTTTTCCTGATCATTTAAAGGTTGAACCAATTTTAGCTGCTGATTTCTTACTTGGGAAAAGAGGCTGTGATCCCGAAAAATACGGAATTGTGTTATTGGTAATCTTACGTAAGAGAGTGTATTGTGCGCCTTTTTGAGTCGCTCATAAAAATTTGAAATGTCAAACCAAACCGGATATTGTGACATTTTGAAAAGAAAAATTATTCGAAGTTAAGTCTAAGCTGAGCTCAATATTATCAGATTATTTAAATTAATGATTTCTTTTCACTGAAAAATGAACTAAAATGCTCTACACCTAATTTTCTGAACGCCAAAGAACGTTTTCCTTATATTTGTACAGAATAAATTAAAAACGTAAAACTTTCTATTCGCAGCTTATTAAATCCTTTTTCTCGTTAACCATGATATTATGATTGTAGTATGAAGCATTACGAGAAGAGTAATTTTCTCTCTATAACGGTGGTTGAGGTAGTATCTTAAACATTCCTATACTGGAAAAAAAACACATTGGATCTAGAGTCCAGACTCTTAAAAACATCGACAAGAAAAAATACTCTTGATTCAATCGGATTCTTGCTTAAATCAAGAACCAAGCCTCTTAATTTGAGCGGATTTCCTTTTGATTTAAGCAAAAATCTGATTGAATTAAGAGTATTTTTTCTTGTCAATGTTTTCAAGAGTCTCGACCCTAGATCCAATGTGTTTTTTTCCAGTGTATATGCAGTCCGATGCAATTTGAGGTGGGCAAAGGAATCACGAAATAGATTAAAACCTCCATGTCGAACTCGACAATTTTTTGAAAGTGTAAATAGACAAATCACTCTAAAATTAAAATCTAGATGGGAAAACGTAGTGAAGCAGGATGAATTATGTACCTTGAGCCCACGTTCGAGTAAGCAGTTTCATTTGTTTCACAAAATTCGTCCGTCTAAAGTCTAAAGAAGGACCCTGGAGGCAGGTCACACGCGAACAAAAGCTCCCCCTGAAAAAAGCAACAAGCGAGGCCCCGAGCTTGACTTTGATGTTTCATAAAGTTTCACAAGGTCTTATTAACTTTTGTTCCTTGGAGAGAATTTCACTCCTCCCGAGTTACATCAATGAAGCTCGACTTCATCCTGTTTTCATTTTTTCAAGGCAGTCTAGAGATCCATACTCTCGTGTAAACCTCGCTCGGGTTGAAGTGAGGCCATTCCTTTGCAATACTCTCCCAGATTTTAATTAATCCCTATGCACCACACTGGAAAATAGTGTATCTTTCCTTCGGAAAATACACTAAAAACACATTGGATCTAGAGTTCAGACTCTTAAAAACATCGGCAAGAAGAAATACTCTTAATTCAATCGGATTTTTGCTTAAATCAAGAACCACGCCTCTTAATTTGAGCGGGTTTCCTTTTGATTTAAGCTTAAATCTGATTGAATCAAGAGTATTTTCTCTTGTCAATGTTTTCAAGAGTCTGGACTCTAGATTCAATGTGTGTTTTTTTCCAGTGTAGAAATAAACTTAGATGTTACATCTTGTAAAAATGTACGCATATAGTGTCGTATACAGGTTTCGTGTTTTTAGGGTTAACTGACAACTCAAGAGAGAGAAGTATTCTCTAAACTTTTAAATTTAATAAATAAAAAATGTGAAGGGATAGATTATAAATTCGCGAATCTAGATCCAACTCGATAAATTTTTTTCTATATCCGTCCAATCAATTGCCAAAACTTATGATTGCCAAAAAAGAAAATGTGAATGAAAATAGGATGGCGTTATTCGTCGGTACCGTACCATATCAAATAAAACGGTTTTCACTAGTACTGTTCCTTCATTTAAATCGTTATTGGTGGGTACTTCATCTCTGATCAAAAAATTTTCTCAGCACTGGTAGGGTGACTGAACCGAATGACTTTTTTACCACCAACTATAGAGCTTTTTACCGCTAAGGTGACTTTACCAAGTGACTCATTTATACCGCGAACTGAAAATTTTTTTTTACCGAGTTTTCTTTATCAGATGACTTTTTTACCACCAATCATGAAACTTACAATGGGTTAAGCGACGTTATCGGATGACTTTCAAAATCGATACCAGGAAAATAAAAAAATTACAAATTCGCAGAAGGCCGTCATTCTATGCCTAGAAATCGTCATATCAGCAATGAAATTTTAACTCCTTGACAAATCAATTGCTCTATCCGTCTTATTTTACTGTCGCATCAATGGTGATCTATTGGTATTATCTGGGAGGAATGAAGTAAACACGAAAATCTTAGCATGCGCAGTTGTATAACCACCAATGTAACCACGTTAATTCGTATTAATCATTGTAGTAATGGAGGGTGGACAATCATAAGCAGTGCACCTTCATTCTGAGCAATCCGCCTTCAATTTTAAAACAGGCAATGTGAGCGACTTAGGAGCAGTAATAGTTGCCTACAGTAATTTAGCCACGTTCATTCCCCTGAGCAGCCCTCCTGCCAGAATCAGGAAGAATTCGCAATTTTATGCTAATCTGCTGTTTCGAATTGTTATGTTTCAGACTTACGTGGCATGTTACCGGAGCAGCCTTGGGTTGATTTTGAATAATACACATGTGCCCTAAAATCTGTAAGTTCTGGTTTATCTGCTATATTTTTCCTCTTCTTGTCTCTTTTTTGTAAGTGGAAATCTTTCATGATTATAGAGTCAAAAGTCATGTATCACCAACAATCATCACCATCTACACTTACTGCCAACCTTACCATATTCAAGATGAGTTTTCTTGCGGAAAAAAAATGCATTTGATAAAAGTTTCATGCGCCATGCAAATAAGACCACATTTTAAGTCAATTTGTATTTACAAGTGAAAAAAGTGTTAGGAGTTGTCCCTATCATGGCATTATCCCAGTTGTTTGGATGCTATGGACATTTCAACTTAATTTTGGTCGTACCGCAAATCAAATTTTGGTAGTACCGCAATACGTGGGTTAGTAACCTAATTTATTAGGGCACTACCAAAATTAATTGGGGTACTACCACAATTAATCGGAAATGTTCAAGTTGGAACCTAACCCCTACCTCTTTTTTCCGCGTAGAGGTGCGCACAACGCCGGCCATTTTTGGGTCCCATGAGCTCCATGAAACTCAAGATGGAGGAGCCAATCAAAAGCGGCCCCCTTATGGCGATACTCTCTCTATCGAGTTACTTTCCAGCTCCAATAATGGTTTCTCTCACGGCGATCCTAGAATACACCTCGTGGATAGTCCATTTTTTTATTGGTCAATCGCTTCTCCACGCGTAAGACGGGAATGCGAGTACCCGCTTCCATCGCAGGTTACTCTGACGTAATCCAATTTGTAATCAAGCTATCGGTCCTTGGTATTTTTTTGCGGTTTCCTCCGACGATCGCCAAAAAGCAACGCAAATGTTTTCCTCAATCTCTCTCGAGCCGGAGCTCGGAGCGGAACCCCGTACAATAAACCCCGAAACAGGTCTTGGCCTCCTTCGGCGCACACTGGACCGAATCAGTAGGAGTCCGACGAAATCTGAAAACTTCGGAAGCTTACATTTGCAAAAATATGAAACAAAAAAGTTTAAGAGTGGTCCCATTGGTTTTTTCGTGAACGAGCTTGACGCAAAAACGGCGTTTTTTGCAACCCCTCCCCCCCTGTAATTTCTTATAGATTACTCATACTTGAGTGCTTCTTTTCGCAAATTTTCGGACCCTCAAAAACAATTTTTTGGGGGCGCCGCTAGGGGGTGGTTGTAGTCGAAACCTATGAACCTCGATATCTCTCAAACGAAGAAAGATATCGAGGTCCGGTTTGGACGAAAAATCGTCTAAAATTGCATTTCTTAATAATCTGAAGGTCAACATCTCAAAATCTTATTTTCAAGTTAACATTGAGGACTGACATGTAACAATGGCGGTTGTGAAAAATTACCTTTTCGAAACACATTAAAAAAACTGTTTTTTCATCGAAAAAAATTTGAGAAAATTATTGAGGTCTGATCTTCGAGATCTGTACATTATGCCAGAGCCAAATACATATTAAATTTTTGTGTGAACAAAACAGTTTTTTAAGCGTGTTTCGAAACTGTTATTTTTCACATCCGCCATTGTTACAGATAAGCCTCATATGTGATTTTTTTCCAGTTTTTGAGTCGAGAAAATTTCCTTTAAGCAAAGAATACGTAAAGTACTCAATTATTTATTTGTAGAAAAAAAACGGGTTTTTAATGGTTCGTCTTTTTCTGCATCCAACGAGTGGTCCATTAAGCTGGGGACTGAAGGGTTCGAGAGTGTCCGAATTCCTCCGAAGACTCGTTCCACTTTGCGGCGGCTCCGGGTGAGCGCGACCGCCTCGCCTCGCGTCGTCGTTAAAAAATCGCGCTTCGGAAGTTACCGGCTCCGTTTCGCGTTTTGAATTTTTTCGCTGCGTTTTATATCGCGACACGATGCGGTCGCCGTTTCAGGGCTACCGCGATGACTGATGAGCCCCCGAACCCACCCCNCCCCCCGTCGGCCCCCTGGCCCCACCCCCACCACGTCTTCCAAGACGCGTAACTGCTCCTCGCCATGCAGGAAAAAAGGCTCAACTCCGACTTCACGCCACGGCTCGACACCGTCAAGATTTATAGAATCGGACCTACGTCACGGTCGGGTATCAAGTATTTGCAAGGTAGCGGTAGATATTCAGAAAGTTTCTGGTCATCCAATTTCAAAAACTCGTTTCCCCCAAACTTCTATGAGGGTTTTTTCAACCTAACCAAGCAAGTGGCAAGGTAGGAATTTCAGCATTCTGATGCATGTTTCTTACAGGATTGCCGCAGTCAAGGAATACCTGGAACCGTCAGGAAATTTTAAAAAGTCAGGAAAAACCTGGAAATGTCAGTGAAAATGACGAAAGTGTCGGGGGAAATTTTGCCTGGAAAGTATTTCTAACTGTAGTTTTTAAAAATCTGGCATTTTTTCGATTGTCACGGAATTTCAGCAAAATGTGTCAGGGGAATCAGGAAAATGTCGGGGAATTTAATTTTCAAAAAAATGTTGTTAAGTGTCAAGTGTCAGAATGCTTAAATTTTTACCTTGTGGATCGGTCTATTAGTGGAGAGATACAATCAGAGACTAAGATACAAAATCACAATGAGAAGGCAAAAGGGACATGGAGTTCAAAAAGAGAACATGATTAGCAACATAATTTGAAAAATTCTCAAAGTGGCAGGAGACCGTGACAAGTTCCTGAAAAGTCATCGGAAACCTATAAATGTCGGGAAATTTTGCCCAGCAGGCGTGCAGTGCTGGGTCCACCTTTTCCAACGAGACCACAAAATCAAGGAATACCAAAAATTAGAATAAGAAACTCTTAAAAGCATTTATTGTTATTGTCTAGAGATTCGTCATACCGTGAGATATGAATTTATCATTGAATATTATTAATTCATATTTTCCAGCCGCGCCTTTTGGACGAGATCAAGCAGCTGATTAAACCGCGTCGTACTCTTTTTTTTTTTTTTTTTTTTTTTTTTTAGAAAAAAATCAACCCGTTTTATGTCTGTTTCAAGCATTTGATGATAACTCGACGAATCAATCCAGTTACATAACTCCAACGCTCTCTCGCCCATGCGTATGCGCGAAGCGGTTATTTATTCTACACGTGCCGTTAGTTCAGCTCCTGCAATGCAAAATAAGGGCATTCACTCCGAAAATCTCATAAAGCATCTCTCACCGCTGCTTCAGTGTTTCGGAAGTAAACGGAATAAAATTTAACAGATCCATGAATGTAGTCTCGACGCGATCTGCGCCTTTAATAGTGAATTTTGATGTTCGTGCGGTACCGCAGGGAGATTTTAGCGGCATTTTTGTGATTTCGAAAAAAGAAACCCGTTCAACGTAGATCTGTAGTATGGAAATTCGTGACGCAAATCAATTTTTAAACGCGAGCGTCGAAGCGAAAAAATGACCTTCAGTGTTAAACTTTTTCAAAAAGGATACTGTAAGGCGAGTTTTTCGCATGCAAAATGGGTAATTTTTTCTCTCTTCTCGAAAATGTATCGGAGCTCCCACGATACACGATACATTTTATCTGCGCACTGCAAATGTATTTCAATGGCTGAAGTGTGAAACCGTGTATCCAAATTGCGGTGATTCAAAATGTCCGTTCCTCTTTTATTTCGTCGAGGAGAAACAAGCCAACTTTACAGCTTGACATTTTGGAAGTGTGCAGCGTTGCAGATACGTGGATCCGTGCTTTAGCGCTTCAGCCATCGTTTTAAATTGGTCCCTCTTATAAATTAGAGAACAAGTTCTTTTCAAAAAGGTTCACAGGAAAACGAAAAACTGAAGAGTTTTTTGCCCTCCAAATCAAATCGACCTTTCCATTTTAAAAACCCATTTTTCCATCAAAATTCTAAATGATGATCTTCTTTTCTTGCTCGTAATGTAAAATTTGCAGCGATTTTGTCTGACATTTCTTGTACCATATAATTATGTCGAGCTGTCCGGGTGCCAGAAATTTTGCAATACCCAGGAGGGACAATTACTTCGAATTCTCTTAAAAAAACGCGCTTTTCCAAAGAGACCGGCCTTTTCTTCGAATTATCAAGGGGCCAATGTTCGTGATTTCCATCGTGTTTTTGCTGAACCTTTGCAATTTTCTCCTCAATTTCGCAAAAGACACGCCTTTTTCACGCAAACGCTTAGGCTTTTCCACGTTTACAGCTCGTTTTCGGGGCCTTTTTCTCACACTCGCACGCAAGCAATCACGATCCACCGTTCGTCTGATTGAGAAGTTTTTGTATCTCCTGGAAATTCAGTTCATTCAGTGTTCAATACAGACCGAACTCTTGGGTCTTTTACCCTAAATTTTTTGTTGCCATATTTTTTGAAGTATAGTGTGGGTAGAAATACCCACACTACTCCAAAAAATACAGTACTCTATTATACTATATACTAAACTATTGGTGGATTAACTGGAATTATTCTCGGCAATTCTTCCGTTGATGTTTGCTTACATGACACTTGTTTTGCTGTTGCTCATTTTCATCATGTTCTATCTACGGGAATTATTTTTGCTATCAAGGGTGGGTTCAAGGTTTTTCAGCGCTACCTGGCATCCCGGCAACAATATTAGCAGAGAGCTAACCTATTCAACCCCTCCAAACTTTTTCTAAACCCTAGATTATGGAAAATATACTCACATAATATCAATTTTTTGTGGTTCTTGGCTTTTTGTCCCAAAAATGAAACATCAGAGAAGATTAGGCAACCTCTGATGTAGTTAGGCTAGTTCCGTTTCAAAGGGTCCTTTTTATTCGTATTCGTACTCAGCGTATGGCATTTTGCCATCCTTTGCGAACAGCAGATCGCGACTATATCTCTCTACAAACAGACAGCCGTTCTTTTTGGCTCGGTCACTTTTACAAATCGGCGCGTCTTTTCCTTATTTTGGATTTCGGTCGAAAGTTTTGGATTCAGCGTGCACGAGGAAAGGTACGCATAATGGAGGTGCGCAGAGCCATCAACGAGGTTTGTCGACGAATTAGCGCTGAACCCGTGGAAAGTTCAACCGCAAAACAAAACAAAAAAAATACTTAAAAGTGCGTATGAACGTTTTTGGCGTGAAAA